TTTTTTCCCTCACTGAATCATGGAAGATGGATTTGAATCATTTCATTCGAAATTTGATAGCGTCAATTGCATAGATAGAAAGCTGTACTGTATAGTTTATACTTTATAGTATGTTGTGACCCACTCACATTTTGGCGGGGTCTTTATATCACTGTTTGAAAATGACTCTATCAGCTTGAAATGGAGAGATTCAAGTTCATTGATGATGATGAAATTGTGGGTTGTGTTATTGTTGAACAGGCTGGAGTGGTATTAGGGCCAACAGCATTATCTCATGTTAAGCAAATACAAGAATATTTTTTCCTTCAGAGTTCCACAAATTACTATGAAGTTGTGAGCTTCTTCTGCAGAATCTTCATCACGTTCTTGTTTGGATTAGAGATGAATACTCAATACACAATGCTCAATCTACGTCTAGTCAGCTTGGTAGCCTGTGGTGGTGCTGCTGTGGGAGCCATTTTTGGTTTAGGAGTGTCATTTTATCTGTACAAGCAGTTAACAAACAATGCCCCTTTGCCATACTTTTGCATGATCATTATGCTTATAGTATCATACACAAGCTCTCCCTTGGTGATTCGTTTGGCATCAGAAATGAGGTTGATTGCATCGAACATGGGGCGAATCGCGGTGTCTTCTGCATTAATCATAGAAATGACTTGCTTGTTGTTTTTCAATCTGTTAGTTAACTGGCATACAAAAAGTATTCTGGCTGGATTTGGTTGCTTTCTAATTACTGGGGTGTTGATTCTGATAAACAGGTATTTAGCCTTATGGCTGAATAAGAGACATGCAAACCAAAAGTACCTAAAGGCTCCACAACTTTTACTCATCCTATTCCTTCTTGTAGGGAACTCAATGATTATAGAAATTTGGGGTTTCAACAGTATTATTAGTTGCTTTTTAGTTGGCTTGATGTTTCCAAGGGAAGGTAAAACAGCTAGAACATTGATACATAAACTTGGTTATTCTATTTACAACTTTATACTTCCAGTGTACTTTGGCTACTTAGGCTTTCAGTGTAACCTCATTGCCTTAAGAAACTTGAATGATGTAACCAATGTCGCCATATTGATCTTACTGAGTATTGGCAGTAAGCTTAGTGGCACTCTTCTGGCTTGTCGTTACCTTCAAATTCCTCCAAGTGAAGGTATTTTTCTTGGCTTCATATTGAACACCAGAGGGTATGCTGATCTGCTATTCTTTGGTGCAGCGGCAAAGGGAATAATTGTAAGTTTATGTCTTGACATCATTAAACTCATTCACAGTTAAAATCTCAACTTCAACTACTGATTCATTGGCTCTTCTTTTAATCTGCAGAGTTTTTCTGCAGAAGCTTACAATGTGTTGTTAGTAGCAATAGTGCTTAACACAATTATATCAGGAATAATTGTTGCTTCTCTGACCAGAGCTGATGATAAAATGTTTGCAAACCAACATACAACTCTTGAATCACAACAAGTGGAGCATGAGCTTCGAATTCTAGCTTGCGTGTATGATCCTCGTCAAGTGTCTGCTGTACTAGCATTGGTTTTAGCAATAAATGGCTCTAGAACATCACCAGCTACTGTTTACTCAATGCACCTAATAGAGCTTGTAAAGAAGATCAAGTCAAATATGTTATACCACCAAAAAGAAAATGCTGAGCTTAGTGATGACGATGACTATGGTGGCAATGATGTAGTGGAAATTAACGAAGCTATTGACAACTTCACTACTCAAACAAAGATTTTGATCCACCAAAGAAAGGCAGTATCTTCTTTCCCAAGTTTGTATGAAGATGTCTGCAATGATGCAGAAGATTTACATGTAACTATTATTTTGCTTCCTTTTCACAAACACCAACGTATTGATGGAAAATTGGAAAGTGGGAAAGAAGGCATAAGGACTACAAATCAGAAGGTTCTCAGACACGCCCCTTGTTCGGTAGGTGTCATTGTAGAAAGAGGGCTAAGTAGGGTTCCTAGCTTTTCACAGTTAACAGCCTCTGAAGGCATACAAAATGTTGTAACACTTTTCTTTGGAGGTTCAGATGATCGTGAGGCGATTGCTTGGAGCATACGCATCGCACAACACTCAAAAATCAACTTGACAATCATCCGGTTCTTGCTTGCTTCCATGCCACGAAGTGAGACTTCCTCTGAAGAATCAGAAGATCAAGAAATTTTAATGTCATTGTCAGGGCAAGAAACTGTGAACGAGATTGATAATACCTTCATGGTTGATTTCTACAACCGGTACGTGGCATCGGGTCAGATCGGGTATGTGGAGAAGTTTGTGAGTAATGGGGCACAAACAGTTCAAGTTTTCAAAGAAATAGGTGACATGTATTCATTGTTTATAGTAGGAAAGGGTGGAAGAGGGCATTGTTCATTAACAATTGGTATGAGTGACTGGGAGGAGTGTCCAGAACTTGGAATAGTTGGTGATGTTTTGGCATCTTCAGAACTGGCCATTCATGGTTCAGTTTTGGTTGTACAACAGCATAGGGATGTGAAGAAAAACCTGATGAATGATTGATAAATAAAAGTGTAAACTTAGAATTCATAATTTGACATATTCAATTTTGTGTACATACTCTGTATATATAGATATATTAAAGAGGAAGATTTCTATTTTCTTGTGTGTTATTCAGGCAATGCTATATAACCAAAGAAGATGATGGTGATGACTTGAACTGATAGTTTTGTGATCGCTTGGGAAACTTATAGGGACAAAATAGGCTTTATAGCCTTTGCCATAGGATATAGATACGTGATTTTCTCATAAAAATGTATTTAAACAAGTAAACCTCTAACATGTTCCATTGAGTAATTAAGGGGCTTGTTTGATTTTGTTTTTATTTTTATTTTTAAAAACTACTTTATAAATTAAAATATTTAAAACAAAACGAGATAAAAATTCACTTAATTATATTAATTTGAAAACAATTTTAAAGTTATAAAAAGGCTAACAATAGTGGTTGTCAATTGGTTTGAACTCTTGGTGAGTTGTAGTGACTTGTATTGGTCTGACAAAACTATATAAGCTTGTTGCTCAGGCTACAGCCTATCTTATTAATCAAAAAAAAAAAATAATGGTTGCCAATGATTAATAGCAATGGTTTATGATAATAATTAATTATGGCTAAAGGTAATTAACAATAGTCAGACATAAATGTATTTCAAAAGTGAAAAAGGAAAACAAAAACTGTTCTAAATTGTTTTCATTTTTGTTTTAAAATTAAAAAATAAAAACAGTTTTAAAAATATATAAATGCAAAACACTTACCCAAATGATTTTTTATTTTTTATTTTTAAAAACCAAAAACAATTTTTAGAAATAGAAATCAAATAGTGCCTTAGTATACCTCAATTTTTAACTTAGTCAAGCTTGATTAACATTTTTTTATTCAATCTCTACACCTATTTTTATCTGGATTAAATTCTTGATTTTTATCCACACCTCATCTATCATTCCGAGTTATGCAAATTTTATTAGAAGAGAAACTTTATATATATATATATATATAGTAAATTTTATTCTATTATTAATATTTTTTTTTTGTCAAACTGTCAATGGTTATACAGATGTTGGGGAATAGTTACAAGGGTGGGTTTGGCCACCTCTTTAAATATGTGATTTTAGACTTTGCTCTAGAAGGCTCATAATCATTAGGTTTGTCAGGCGCTTATAGTTTCTTATTCCTAAAACTGGTAATTCAAACAGATTCCGTTTAAAATATTTTAACATATAAAAGTGCTCAAATATTTAAATTATTAAATATTAATTTTTTTATGTAATTTTAATTTTAAAAAATTATTTTTTTCAATTTTTATCTTAAAAAAAATGAACTCATGTATTTGGGCTTGGTTCAAATTTATTTAAATTTATTCAAGTAGTTTAAATAAACTTTGAGTAAATTTTTTTTTTTAAACTCTCAAACTCGATCTTAATTATAAGAGGGCTAGGTGGACCCCAAAGCATAAAAGCGTGGGGGTGTAATTTGTTGTAATTGGCTCCTACCAGAAAAAGAAAAAAGACCGTAAAGTAATACTGAAGCAAATTAGGATAGGTTTGTTATGATGTATGAAAGCTCTAGATGAGAATTTAGTGAAGAAAGAATGTATTGGTTGAAAAGAGAGTATATAACTTGGGGAGAGAAACAACTCATATAAAACACAATAAGGCAAGCATGGCCTCGTTAAGTAAAAGCAATATGTAAGTTACTTGTCATAAAATCTAATAATTAAAATGTCCCTATCAACTTAAATAAGTTCACAAATAATAAATATATATATATATATATATATATATCTGTGTGTGTATTGTGAGTTGGTTTCTGGGAATTCCTCTCCTTCTCGGCCATTTTTGTTCCTCTTCCCTTTTTGTATTTTCTTTCTTGTTGATATTCTTGTAATTTCAATTTTTTGTATTTGGAGAGTATTTTTATAGCATTCATACTTTGTATGCTTTATAATATTAATTTTGGGAATTGAATTACTGGAGTTCATGACACGTTATTAAAAAAATTAAATGAGTTAATAATTGAATTTAATCATTTTTAAGCTTCAATTCGTGAATGAAATATTTTTGCATGTATATATTATAGTCATAGACGCTGACCTCTGAAGTCGAAATTCATAAATTTAAATGAAATTTTCTTTTTCTTTTTATATTTTCACTTATTTTATAATTTTTTATAATATATAAACTTTTCTTTCTCTTATAAAAATAAACTTTATAAAATCCATGAATTTTTCAATTTAGAGGATTTAAATTCTTATCGCGGTTATATCTTCTTGGCTTGCCAAAAGAAAATAGAAAACCAGTAAAAAAGAAAAAAAGAAAGAAACAGGAGAACAGAGAAAACAACAGATAAAAACCATGAAATCAAATTAAAAAAAATAATATCTTTTTGGCACAAAACAAGGAAAAAAAAAAAAAAAACAGCGAGAGAGCACCTGAGTGATCGAACTTCATCACGGTCACGGACCTTGCAATTGCATAATCGCCGAGAAAGACACTAGCGGTCAAACTCCATAGGTACCCTGCCTTTCTTCTTCAAGGTTGCTTCCACAATGTTCTTATGTTATCCATCCTTCTTCGAGCTCCAGAATCAGTGGCTTTTGTTCGAGCTTGCGGTTGAAAGTACGGTTTCTAGGAAGTTCGTCGAAGGGCCACAAACCTCTACGTAATTAGTTTCCATTTTATGATTATATTGATTGATATCAAGGACGTGACTTACTTGAGTCGAATTTGGGTTTGAGTGGTATTTGAATGGATTCTTTTTATTTATTTCGTGGAAAAATTTTAATTCCATGGAAGAAAGTTGCAGTGGATGGTTCAGCTTGTGATTTCACTTTCGGTTGATTGATGGTCTTTGTGTTTTACTTGGGATCTTGTACATACCCAAAGTTATTTTGTAGTTTAAGTGAAAGAATTTTTGTAAATAAGGACTTCTGATATAACTATCTCTGTATATCAGGTGCTTACTTGGTCCTTGCAGGTAAATATCACCAAGAATGGGTCCCTGTTTGAAATCTTCCAATTATACAATCCCCCCCCCAAAAAAAAGGGAAAAAGCTGAATGTTTTTGTTTGGAAAGGTTTACTGTTTAGTAATTGTGAAATTAACAGATTGGGAGAAAAAATGGACTGAAGAGTGTTTTACTGCCCTTGATAAGAGCTATGTTTTTTTGCTCATCAATAAGTTTGTTTGGTTACTTGTGGCCCAAAAAAATATAAAAAGTTTGATTGGTTATCAAGCTCAGCATAGAAGCTATGGAATGTTATTTTAAAAGCTGCTTGTTCAAGTAGGAAATTTTCTTGATTATGATGGCAAGTTGAGATTTTTCATCTTGGAGCATATGTTGTTGCTGAACAACTCTTCATTGAGACTGTTTTTATGAACATTTTTTATATTTATTTTTCTTATCCTGTATTTTGATCTGGAACAAACCTCTAGTTTATATTCATATTTGTTGCAAAAGATGCCTAGGCCTGAGAGGAAGAACTGGGGAAAGAGACATGAATTTGGACTAGGATCAAGTCCTCAACATCTAGCTTATGACATTCTTGAAGATTGGGGTTGTGTCGTGTAAACTATTTGCTCATTCAAGTTTCCAGATGTATTAATGTAGAATTCTGGCAGACCCCTTTCTTCTTGCATTTAGGTCGTGGCTGATCATGTCTGTGACATACATATAGTATATGGCCTATTTTCCAACAGCACTTACCCTGTCAATGGATTTAGCTAGATCCTACCCTGTCAATGATTTTATGTTTTTATTAAAATTTTCTCTTTATCTGGTATGAAGAAGATAGATTTATCCCTGCCAGGCTTTTAAATATTCCATTAATTTGACCAATTTGTGAATTACATTTAATGAAAATTTGTTGTTCATACTTTAATTCTTCCCTTTTGTTTTATCTAATAGTTTTCAACTCTCTACTCCTATTTCCATAGGTTCAAATGTAGTAGACAGGTTTCTATGAGTTGAAAGAAAAGCTTAAATTTTGTGTATGGGGATAGATCTTGAGCAGCCATCTGGAGAATGTCATGAGGAAGACAATAGGAATCTAGTACTTGCTGATGCAGTTGATGGTATAATAATATCAATGAACCCAGAAGCTCTTTAGAAGTTGTTGGAAATGATAACGAGAATGCAGGGCCAGGTACCAATGCTGAATTATTAAATCATGGAAAGGAAGGGTGCACTGGACAAGGAACCAACTTGAATTCTTCAAAAATACCAGAGCCTCATGATGGAATGGAATTCAATTCAAAGGAGGAAGCATTTTCATATTATAAAGATTATGCAAAATCTGTGGGATTTACAGCTATAATAAAAGCTAGCCGCCGATCTAGAATATCTGGAAAATTTATTGATGCAAAATTTGCATGTAGCAGATATGGAAACAAGCAAGAACCCTGTGCAGCTGAAACTTTCGAATTCTCTTTCAAAAACAGATACCATACCAAGTATTCCTGTAAAAAGGAAAAGAGGTAGAGTGAACTTATCTTGGGCAAAAACAGATTGCAAGGCCTGTGTGCATGTCAAAAGAAGGCAAGATGATATATGGATAATCTGCAGTTTCATAAAGAGCATAACCATGAAATTTTTCCTGACCAAGCCTTTTACTTTGCGGGACATGGGAATCTAGCTCTGAGTAGCAATGGCGATGCATTACAGGTTACTAGGGCTAGAACAAAAAATTTGTGTGTTATGCCGAGAAAATCTGATGGATATAAAAAAGTTGACAATAAGAAAGGTAGCAGTGGAAACCATTCAGGTAATAGACAGCAGTTGGCTTTAGATGAAGCAGATGTCCATGCTCTGCTTGACCATTTTATGTGTATGCAAGATGAGAATCCTAATTTCTTTTATGCAGTAGATCTGAGTGAAGAGCTGCAATTGAGAAGTGTTTTCTGGGTTGATGCAAAAAGTAGGCTTGATTATAGACACTTTGGTGATGTGATTCTTCTTGACACCACGCATATCAAGAATGAATATAAGCTTCCTGTTATTCCCTTTATTGGTGTGAACCACCACTATCAGTTCCTGTTGCTAGGATGTGCAATTGTGTCGGATGAGTCTAAATCAACTTATACATGGGTGCTGCAGGCATGGTTGAGGGCGATGGATGGATGTTCCCCAAAGGTAATACTTACAGACCAAGCCAAAGCTCTAAAAGAAGCTGTTTACTGAAGTTCTTCCAGGAGTTCATCATTGTTTTTGTTTGTGGCATATCCTGAGCAAGATTCCAGAAAAGTTAAGTCATGTAACGCGGCAGCATGCAAATTTTATGACGAAATTTAACAAATGCGGGTTGAAGTCTTGGACAAATGAACAATTTGAGAAGCGATGGTGGAAAATGATTAGGAGATTCAATTAAGTGATGAGAATTGGTTGTGCTCAATTTATGAGGATCGTCAATACTGGATACCTACTTATATGGGAGACACTTTCTTAGCTGGAATGTCTACAAGGAAACGTTCAGAAGCTATAAACTGTTTGTTAGACAAACATGTGCAGAGGAAAACTAAATTGAAAGAGTTTTAGAGCAATACCAAGTGATATTACGAGGGAAATGTGAAGATGAAGCTAAAGCAGATTAGAAACTTTTCATAAACAACCAGTATTAAATCCCCCTCACCTTTTGAGAAACAAATGGTGACATTGTACACACGAACAATATTTAAGAAATTCCAAAGTGAGGTATGGGCGGTATTGCTTGCCATCAAAAAAGAAAGGAAAATGGACCGATAAAGATGTTTAGGGTTCAAGATTTTGAAGATAATCAACAATTTATCGTCTGAGAAACAATATAACTTCTGATACATCTTGTTCATGCCGTTTATTTGAATTCAATGGTTCTCTGTAGGCATGTAATGATTGTTCTACAAATTTCTGTGTACATAATATCCCATCTCAGTATATACTTAAAACGGTGGACAAAAGAAGCAAAGAATAGACAAATAACAGAGAGTTGGTCTGATGTGGGAGACTCTAGGAGGAAACGCTATACTAATCTATGTCAGCTTGCGTTTGAGCTGGGAGATGAAGGGTCTTTATCACAAGCAAGTTACACTGTTGCTGTAAATGCACTGGAAAGCATTGAGAAAATGTGAGAGGCATGATCAACTCAACTAAGAGTATCATAGAACAAAGCCTACCAATTCTTCGTTCTAATCATGTGACTATAAGCAACTCTGCTTGTAATATGAATGAAAAGGACAATTCTTGAAGAAAAGACAGGTCAATCAGAACTCAGTCAATCATCATGCTCATTTTATTTTTGTTTCATTAACTTGACAGTTTTTTCCCGCCAATATTATGGTAATTAATAGGAACTTCTGGAGCCAAAAATCATTGCTATTGGAATTGATAGCAGCTGGCAGCAAATGGTTGGTACCCATATCCTATCTATATAAAAGAAAAATCTGGTTATACTGTGCATTGCGTATCAATGCTTTCTTTTTAAAAAAGTTTGAAAATGAATAGCTAGTGAGCTGAATCTTCTTATTGGAAACATCTAGAAGATGCTGATTGGGATATCACATTGTGGGAGGAGTTTTTTATGAATTGTGTTCTTATAGGCCAAACTCTACAAGAGCAGCAGGCCTTGATTGTTCTTATGAATCACAACAAAGCATTCAAGAAATGGTAATGGCATGTGTTTCATTGTTACTGCATGCACTTGTAGTTAAACGTTGTATCATGGTGTGACTATTTTCAAGCCACCGGAAATTTGTAGCTTTTGAAATTTGGGCCCTTCTGTTAATTTTCTTTCAGGATCAGCTGACCTCAAGATCTCACCAACTTGGATGGCTATTATGCCACTCAACATACTGTTTCTGGAATGGTAAGAAATCCTCTACAGCCGTGTATCAAGATATTTATTTCTACTTTTAATACCCAAATTTTGTGTGCTTGATGATCTGATACTCTGACTGATCTCCGATCTTATGTTTTAGGGCAATTGAACTCAGTAGCTGCCAATCGTACTGATTATTACAGCAACCATAACATCCAAGGCCTAGTAATGCAAATTTGGCTAGTCTTTGGCGTGTGTTTTCTATATTTGTATCTTTTTGGGCTCAACAGTTGAATTTGGATTGATCCATTTGTAGGGACAACTGAACTCAATCACACATATCCATGATGGCCGCTACCTAACTCCACAAGGGAAGGTACGTTATTCTAGTATATTTTCCAAGGAATGGGACTGGCATTCCATCTAATTTTAACCTTTTTAATACTAAGAACTGAAGAAAGGAGAAAATATTTAATTTTACTTTCAAATGGCTTATCATTTTCAATGCCTTGTCAACCTTTAATGTCGAAGGATTCTAGAGTAGACACAGGCCATTATTGCTCTTTGACATTACCTGGTAATATCCCTTGCATCATATCTTATGACTCTTGAATATATGTACAGCTAGGTATTGGTGGCTTATTTCTTGCTGTGTATAATTATTATCGTTGTCAGGCATTTCAATGATGGACATCCCTGCTGCTGATTTATGTTTGTAGGCAGAGTTACCTTTCAGACAACAAACTAACCCGAATTGTTTTGATGTTCAAGATGGCTTGCGAAATGTGGTACTTGAGTTAACGCTGAAATTGTTGTTGCTTTTGTTGTTCTGTTCTTATTCCATCCCCTGACTATTCATAACAGTTGCTTCTACATTGCAGGAAACAGTCCTCTGAAGGATCATCACATGTACTTGAGATTTGGAGCCAAACAACTCAACTCAAGGCACCTTTTGCAGTAGTTAGGTTGTAACTGATGATGAGTTGTAGATCGTCATTTATGTTCGTGTCCTATATGTGTTAAAAGTAAAAATGCTAACCCGTTATCTGATGAGCCTAAATTGGTTTATCCCATTCTGGCATGGTAGACGCGTAATGCACTGACACTGTATTTTTTTTTTTTTGAGAGCGAACCACCGACCTGTATTTTATTCTACTTCTTTTAATAGAAAGAGAAATTTTATTAACAAGAGTTATAGAAGATGAGAATGTAACATCTCCAACTGGAGCCCCATAAATAAAGATGAAAAAAAAAATTTAATTTATGGGACAAGATTTTAAATTGAAGGTAGTAAAGCGCCTCGATCCGCTGCATTGTAATTCAAGTTATTAAATTATCCTGTAATATAATCATTAACATTTGCAGGTTGAGATGGTCCAGATAATAACTTTCGTAGGAACATCTTTTTGTGGTTTCTCTGAGTATATGAAGCATAGCAGGGATGCAACATTCAAGCATCCTCTGAGAAGATAAAATTAAAAACACAGTCCAAATCGCTGCTTTAATTTATTTGCATATTGGACACATTAAAAGGTCCAAGATATGTGAATATGCCATTTTCTCTATATGTATCTAAAATTAGACTATTCATTTTACCGCTAACTGATATAGAAGGCTTAATTTAGTTTGTCTATGGACTGGATAATTTTTTTTTCATACATATTGAATTATTTTCCTCCTATCTTGCTGACGACCTTATTCATACTCTAGCTTTTGGGGGAGATGTTGTGTTTGAGTATTTATTAAGCTCTATTTATTTTATATATTCTTCTGTCTATATAGGTAATATATATATATATAATATATATCTATTAAGTTCATGATTTTCTTGATCTGTAAAATAGTTTTTTAAGCTCAGTATTGGATGTCATTGAATCACCACCTAGACAAACCTGGGAAAAAGAAGCCTTATCAGTGTGCCATATCTGAGGACCGGAAAAATTTAACTTTAAATGGACACTTTTTTTTTACCAGTATCACATACAATCTCGTGCAATAGAAAGCGACTTCCATTGCTCTATTGGATCAAATAATTGTTATGATGAAAACTTTTTTGTGCCAAGTACCCATGGCCTGTTTGGGGGATAGAATGAAATGAAAGGAAGATCTGGTGAAAGAAGTGAGTGATTTTGAAGTTGAAAAATAATATCGTACACTTACTTTGAAAAGTGAAAGAAGTAGAAGCTGTTGAGCAATTAATTACAAGGACATGATATGCATTGTAGCTGAATGAAAAAAATTCTTTCTTTCATCATGCCTAAACAGCCCAAAAAAAACTTGGAACTAGAATTTAAGAGTCAGAGGTCCCCTCTCTTGTTCTCTCTTATCAATCCCTTCATCCATCTTCTTCCAAAACCAATGGTCATGCCACACCTTCTGCATCTGTTCAATGGGCACCTTCTTGGTCCTCTGGCAGGAGATAGTACACAAACACAGTCATCAGCACCACCAACCCCAAAGAAGAAGAAAATCCCAGACTTGAAGTGGCAAAGCATAGCCAGGAATGTCTGAGCAACAATGAAAAGTAAAGAGGAAGCTCACTGCCACTGTGATGCTTTGCCCAGCCGACCGAATCTCCAATGGAAAAATCTCACTTGGCACTAACCACCCCAGTGGCCCCCATGACCATCCAAACCCCGCAACATATATGGCATATCATCAGCAGACAGAACAAAGTAAGCATGCCCTTTGCTCAATCCTCATAATCTTTCAGATGAGCTGCTAGTATCCCTCCTACTATGCTCTGTGATGCTAACATCTGAATGCCTCCTATTGCAAACAAGGTTCTCCGGCCAAATTTGTCGACAATGAGCATTGATATGAAGGTCGAGCCTGTGCCTACAATGCCAGTCATGGCAGCAGACAAGAGTGAAGCACTTTTCAACCTAACCCAATGGTTCTGAAAAGCAAAGGGGCATAGAAGGCTATGACATTGATCCCTGTCACTTGCTGGAAAAATGGTATCGCCACTGCCATGACAAGTTGGGGTCTGTATTTTCGTTTCAAGATAAGCTTGAACGAGTGATCGGTGTTTTTTGATGTTGAACTTGCTTTGATGAGACCATCAAGCTCAGTTTGAACATCATCTATTCCTCGAATTCGTTGAAGTATAGTATAGCTTTGCTTTTGGTGATCTTTTGCTGCGTTGGATTAGGCTATTGGGAGTTTTCTGGGAGGAACAGCGCACCTAGTGTGAGGATCAAGGCTGGCACTCCTGCCATGGCAAGTGAGATACGCCAACCCCATCCACCTTGGATCTTCTGTGTGCCATAGTTGATGAAATTAGCACATAAAGCTCCAATTCCAATGCTGAATTGGAATCCATTGTTGATTGCTCCTCTTAGTCTTGGTGGTGCCATTTCTGATAGATATAGAGGAACTGACGCAGCAG